TTATTTTTGTAATTTAAGCAAACTTATTTTTCCAGATTCTGTCGTTGGATCTGTTTTCATTCTTTGTTTATAATTGCAATCAGGTTTTACATACTTTGAATTTTATTATTACAACGACGACAAAATGTTTATTTTAGTGTCAGTCAGCTGGTAAAATCAACAAATCACAAAAACATTTGACATTAGTATTATTATGCCACAAGTTGATGGGTCAGAGTCCAGTACCCATAAAATATACTCACCTGGGCCCCTAAACAATTATTTGTTGCGTATTAAGATACAATCAGTGGAACAGACGGACACACACACACCCATACCCATACACACACACACACACCCATACCCATACACACACACACACACACACACACACACACACACACACACACACACACACACACACACACACACACACACACACATACAGACACACTAACTGCAAAGACTCCCTTTTTTGTGCTTCGCACACGGGAGTCAAAAAACAGAGGCAAAACATATAACAGCAGAAACTGTAGACGGTGTTGCCTTGTGAAGTAAAAATATCCTAAAAAAACACGTATGTTATCATATGCTTTGCAACTAGTTTCGATTTCATGAATTTTTTTTTTCTTTATTGTGGCATATGTGTTGATCAATACACAACAGACTTTACTGCTTCCTGACTTGCCATACTTTCCTGATCATACTTCCCCACTTCCCGCGGCTTCTAATACAGATTTTACAGTACTATCGTGAATCAGGTGAACAAGCAAACTATTCTTTGACATGACATGTTGGCGACCGTGAAAGGTTTAAATACTTCAGTACACCTTTCAAAAATTGCAAATCAACAGCTTTTAGGGAAAAAAAATCAGCGATTATTTTTTTCGAAATCAGATCACATATTAACATTGTAGTAATTCACTTCTGCATTGCGTTGAAAAAATTACTTCGCAAATAATCGGAAAACTTCGTCTGTATGACACAGCATTTTGATTGGTTAAGGAAAGACATGACCTTGATCAAAGAAAGTTGTTTCAGGTCAAATCATGTTGAAAAACATGGCGGAAATTGCTTTGTGTCGAGAGTTAGTGTATGATCGAAAACATTCCACAACGAGGATAATGATGAAGATCTTTCTTGCCTTTGACTGTTTTCCCACAGACCCTACCCTTTTTTGCACCGCAAATTCAGACAGTATGTGTGTATTTTTATGAATATGTTTGTTTCTTCATTGTAAAAAGTGTTGTGGAAATCAATGTTCTCATCAGTTAACTTACCCCTGATGTCTGTACATGATTTTTAAATTCCTCCATTGTAGTATTTGACACAGTCATATCTTTGAACATTCCTTCTAATTTAGAAGTAAATTGACATCCACATTCAGTCTGTAAAATCAAGAACAAATCACATGACAATAACACATATCCCATATGACACACATTCCATGCATGTTTTGATGATACATTATCCAAATAAGAATGCATATTTTTCCTCTATCAACATTATGAACAAACTAAAAAGTGATTTAAAAATATCAAAACATTAAGGTATACAGGATTGTTTTTAAATGGGTATTATTTTCACTTGGTTTTTTTCAGTTGGTGAGGGAGTTTCAAGCTAAAATAGCTCTCTAAGTTTGTATCCACTGGATTTGAAATTTTCACACTTTGTAGCTGATGAGTTTCCAAAAAAAAAAGTTTTTACAATGTTGTTTTGTTAATGCCAAAGGTGTTAAACACTTGAGTAGGCTCAATTATGTGACTAACACCCTGTTTGACACATTGCTACAAGAGAACAAAAGACATTACTACTATAAATGATTCTCTTTTGTCATAGGAAACAAGTAGTAACAAGCAGGGGCTACATGGTTATACATGTAGATGTGAACTTCCATCTTTACTATAAAACCCAAGTTGAGAGAGTGGCTGTAACTCGTGTAAATTACTGTTTTGTAAATTTTATGGAAATTCTGGCTGCACTTTTTGCAACCAAATTTAATAACATTGGATGGACATGGCACAACGTGATGATAAGATTCTCAAATTGATTTGAAATCCTCACCTTGAGTTTTGAAATCATGTTCTTTTCTGAATCATCAGATACACTCTTATTGAGCAACAACCGCTTGGCTAAATGTTGTTTATAGTATCTTTCGAACACATCTTTTTCTTGTAAGAATCTAAACAGCACCATAGCTTTATCTAAAACTACCTCAACTTCTTGCTCGGACATCTAGAAAAGAAATTAGAATAAAACAATATCATATAACATGAACATTATCACATACTTGTCTGTAATTACAGCTTAGAGTACAGCTTCACACTTCACCAGTATAATTATACATCAGATGTCTACCACCAATAATTGGAAATTAATTTTTCCTTTATGTTAGACTGTGATAGTTTGTCATACTTCTAATGCATTGTTGACAACTGAAGTTAATTTTGTTAAGTGCATAAAATTTGTTGTTAGCTCCCCATCACCCACATGGAACTATTCAAGGGACGCATGTTTTTATTTTCATATTTGTAAAATGCATTATCATTGTGTAAATGTTGAAGGTATGGTAAGAAAAAATAATAACTCACTCCCTTGACTCCCTTTTTGAGTTTGTCATCAATAAAGAGAGATAGGTATTCAGGTGATTTGTTGTTTAAATTCAGGAAATATTCAAAATCTCCCGATATGGTTTGTTTGAAGAGCCTGTCATCACCAAATGACTTATGTAGAAAGTGATCAAATCTATCTTTCAAGTCTAGTAGATCCTACAAAAACAAAATAAAATAAGTTATAATCAGAAACTGTCACTCATCTACTAGGGCAACAAATATACAATTTAATATGTCAACCTGTAATAAATGTATTAGTTAAAACTAGACAGAAGAATGTAAACTGAAATACACAATGCAAAATGTTTGTGTTGACAATACAAATGTACATGAAAAATCAGAAGCTTCACTGTTACAGTCATTGAAAATGACACAGTCTCGACTGTTTCTTTCAATCTTATTTTTATATGCTTAATACATGATGTACTCAGGTATAGAGTTGTTTTAAGGATGAAATGATTAATAATGTCAAAGCTTATAATTTATTCATCTAAACTTGATACTAGAATTAGAAAACATCGCTATTTGATACTATAAACATATAATACTGTAAAATACTTTATTTGCGCTTTGAATTAATTAACGCTATTTTCGCTGAAAGAATGATTCAGTGAAAACAAGTCATTGAAAATGACACAGTCCCTGTTAAATTTTTGAACGTTCTCTTTGTGCTCGTCATATTAAAGCGGAGGGGTTGTCGCGAGCGTGTCCTTGAAACTTGAGTTCCAAGTGGCGTATACAACAGATTGCTAAAAATAATCAAAGAAAGCTTAGAAAGAACTCCCATGTGCTGAGAGTATTGGAGACACATTAAATATAATTCGAAATTACTTAGCTGAAAACTAATTATGCAAATCAGAAAATTAATATGACCAGATTTGAGTGTAAAACTAATGAGGTCTGCGCAATGTAACAGAAAATCTATGTCTCCAAGTTTAATTGAAATGTGATTAGAACCAAAAAATTATGAATTATTATGCTTATTAGGGAATTAATATGAACAGATTTTTACCCCAAACTAATTAGGTTTGTACATTGTCCTAGAGCATCTTTGTACTAAGTTTCATTGAAATGGAATAATTAGTACCGTGAAAACTCCAAAATTTCG